CACTTATATTTCTGTCTGAGGAGGAAAAACGCCTTCATAGATGAGTGCAAAAAGATGCATGCAGTCTCTCAAGCCTGAAGTCATGAGCTGGTATGTACTTTACTGTTATGTGACACATCGTAAAAAATATATTTTACGTAATTGGCAGTGACAGCCACATATTCTGAGAGAAAAAAGTATATTGAACTGTATACTGCATATCACTGGTAATTATTTTCAGCACTATCTTCCATAGAAGAAAAGGATGATTTAGCACTTGAAAGCCAGGCCTCAAAACAAAAATAAAATCCTTTTATTTTTCCATGCCTAGGTTAGGATTCATCTCACCTCACTGTAGACATCAGCAGTGTAGACACATATGGTAGGACCCATCACTCAGGCTCCCTTTGCAGTCAATACAGGGAACAGGCACTTTTGGGCCATGATTCATCTGACCTATTTACATGTCTACTGTAGGAGGAGATGAATCACTGCCTAGACTAGATCTGTGCGGAGGATAAAGGGAGCCTAAGATGGCCAGCTCAGATGTAGATGCCTATACATATAAACATTTATTTTTCAACAGAATTTAGACTTGCAGTTTGGAACGACAATTTTTCAGAGAAGAGTTAAATTTCTTAAGTCACATTTTCCTAGCAGAAAGTGTGTACGAATATATATATATATATGGGTTTTTTCCTCCTGAAACAGAAACATTTGCAACAATATCTTTTGAAAACTGGCCCTGTATCCCCTTCCCAAATGTTCCACCATCTGAAAAGCTGCCATTTTCTCTCTCTCTGCCTCTGCCCCTCTTTCACACATACAGACGTGTGTACACATGCCATGATTCAGAGCTGGGCCTTCTGAATTTCCAGCATTAACTCAAAATATACTCTTCTGTGTGTGGTAGCCAGAGCTGTTACACACAGATATATTAGCTGGTTTTGTTTTTTAAAAAAACCCAAAGAAAATATGCAAACAAAACCACCAAATGAACATTTCTGGAATTTGCTTCTGTTTAAAAATAACATTTTTTTATTCCTATTTTCTGCTAGAATCTGCTTTACTCTGCCTGCAGACTTGGTGAGGCAAGGCATCGTATGAAGAGGAACATCAGTTTCTGGGAGACAAGTACTGATGTGGAGGGAGGGGGAAGACAGACATGAACATCTAAGAAAGGGTGCAAGTTCCCTCGTGAACCTCTGAGAAGACAAGAGAGAGGTAATGCTGTGTTATTATGTATAGAAGGTCGAAATTGAAAGAATATAGCTTATAGGGACTGATGTTCTCACAGGTACACTTGTGCACATCCTGTACTACCATGTCTCAGTGCATCTGAACACTCATCTAGACTACAAATGGCTAAAAGGTAATATTTTTAAAAAAGGAAAAAAAGGAAATCACTCTGTTGCAGAGCTTTACAATGCTCAGCTGCTGCCGAGGAGTGCTTGGTGTAGCTACAGTAGTGATAGGCAAAATATCCCTTCCTTCCAGTTGTTGGCACACAGCACAGCAACCCATTTATGTGAGCACCTGGCTGATCAGTTTGCTTGTGACAGATCTTGGCACACCCCCTCCTCTGGCTGTAAAGCTTTACTGACTCTTGTGTTTCGTGGGATTTTTTTCCCCACAAACTCTTGTCTGGCATGGGAGGACTTGGAACAGAGCGACACTGGCTCTGGCAACAACAGGAAGCTGCATTTTGGATAACCCTTTGCAGTGAAAGCTTTGCAGCCATTTAAGGGCTTTCCTGTGGGGATCAAAAGGCTCCATCATCCAAACTCCTTTGCAGTGAGAAGAGTACCAGTGACTGCAAAGATGTTTGGAAGAGGCCACAAGCATCTGAAAACTGTCTCTGAGAAGTGGGCATGGGCTTGCGGATCCCCACAGGGTGCAGTGCAGCAGTGGCTTCAGGAAGAAAGAGTGCTCTTTCACCGATCAACTCAGTGCATCATTCATTAAATATAAGGCCCTACAGGAAAACCAGGGCTTTGTGTTCTCCATGCCCCTTCCTGCATCAGCCCTGACGTCAGTAGTTTTGAACCATGGAAGTTAAATTAAGGCCAGTGCAGTCTAATAGGCAAGGGAGAGCAAATGCTAAGAAGTCAAGGTAATGAGAAAATACCTGCCATCTGGAGCTGTCATAAGCACGAATTTGCATCACTCCCCACAAAATAAATAAATTACAGCTTGCAGATCATTATTTTCCCTGGATGCAAATCCCCGCTCCTACCGCTACCGCCAAAAATTTTGGCCTCCCTGCTTGCCACACAGTTGTCAGCTTCTGCCAAAAGCCCCGGAGAGGTGTGTATGGGCACAGGGAGACATCTGCAACCGCTGGCTGTTGAAGCACAACGGCTGAAGTGGGATCTGTTCAGCTGCATCCGCTTGCTCCCTTTCCTCACTCTGACGGAAAGTTTTCCTCCCGGCTCTGACAGCACCGCAGCCACCTGGGGAAGCACATGACTTCCTCGGGAGACGGCATTTCTTATTTGTGTTGCAGGCCTCCAGCAGGCATGGCACCAAGGCAATGTTTTTATCAGTTTTTGTAACATCGTCACAGCAGCTGCAATTTTGGGAACTGGAGTGCGGGCTGGAAGTTGAGGGAGAGGCAAAAGCACACCACGCCACATAGAAATCAGGGTGGAAGAAAATAAAAAAAGGAAATCAGCAACCAGCCTTCTCCCCCAGAAAGCTCGTTGTGTTCCTGAATGCCAGGGGTGCTGCTTGCCCTCCAGATGGTTATCCTGGGGCCCATCTGCCTAAAAGTGAGTCACTGGAAGTTGCGGACCAGATCAGTCCCCACAGGGTGCCTGTGCTGCTGGGGGAGCAGGGCAGGGGAAGTGGAGTCCCCCAGCTAGGAGGGTTTCCATACTACGTGCCCAACAGCGTGCCAGGGGAGGTGGGAGAGAGCTCGAGCCCTTTGGCTTTGAGACGGCACAGTACAACACTGATGTGCAAGTAGCAAGGCTGCCTACAAAACCACTGCAGCTTGATGTTGTGTCTCAGCAGTCAGCCCTATCAGACTTGTTAGCTCAGCTATAATGCCATGCTGGTACAGCCATTCTGCTCCTAGGTCTCCAGCTGACACCTCTGCCCCACGCTGTGCAGGTGTCCTGGATTGTGTGGCGCTACCTCCTAGTCGCCTCTACTGGGAAATCCCCAGGGAGCCAGGATGGAAGTCCTGTCTTCCAGATTATTTACCTGCTACTTCTCATTACAGGAATGTGACCCTGTTCTCTTCTGCCTCCTAGCTTGACTTCAATGGTGTTAGGCCAGCAGAGGTTTGAGGCTTCACTGATGCAATGGGCCAGGAAGCCACAGCTGGCTGAGAGTCGAGTCCTTTTCACTGTGTCTCCTTTCTCCTTCATCTACCCTGCAACTGAGGCAAATAAGTGCCCATGGGTGGTCCCATGAGTGTAAGAGGGGCTTTCCACTGCCCATGCATACTCTGGCAGGACAGTGGGCCTGGATTCTTCCTTGTACATTGCTTTTTTTCCAGGTAACTCCTCTGGTCTGTAATTAGAGTTGCTGGTCTGTGGAGTTATGTCTGGCAGAGGACATGTCACATAGTCCCCAGTTATCTTTGAACTTGGTGAAACTGAACAAAGTTGGCATGGAGATAAAATGCTTCCACCAGGTACTGCCCCAGACCCCAGTTGTTAGGTGGTGCACATTTTATCAAGGGCAAGAGCTGAAGGTCATTTGCCCCAAACATAGCTGTTTGGTGCAAAATACCTTCAACTTCGGTGCCCAAGCTGTTTCCTTAGCCCAAGCACCCTGAAATGTTGGGGTAAGACAGGCAGGAAGAGGGAGGAAGTAAGCAAAGATGTGCCAGCAGCAGTGACTGATCCTCTGAGGTGGTGTGGGGAGGGCTTGGCAACCCCTTCAGCACTGTCCTATTGCAACAGGAGGGAGGAGAATATACAGAGGTTACTTAAAAGCCCCCAACTTTTTCCAGGCTTCTATTGCACTTCAGAAATTCTGCAAGGGAGAAGGAAAAAAAACCTATCTGAAAAGAAGGTACCCTTGCTAACTAAAAATCTTCCTTTAAGAGCTTACTGCTATTAAATAATTGCTACATTTTGAATTGCTGTTTTCAGGAGCTTTGGGAAGAAGTTGTGTTCTCAGCCATGAATATTTCTGTAGAAGGATGACATGGCTCTTTCATTGCTACATGCTTATGCTGAAATAGATGTGAAAGCAGTTTTGACTAGCTCAGAGAGAACTCTCTGATTAGCCTACATCTGAGATTTCCCTTAAGGTCGCTAGTGGGAGACAAATAAGTGGATAAGTGCCTTTTTTCTTTTATTTTCTTTCCTTTTTTTTTTTCCTCCTACCCCCCCCCCCCCCTTTTTTTTCTTTCCTC